TATGGAACATGCAGCAACCCTGCCAAAGGGGAGGGTGGAAACTTAAAAGTTGGAAAGTTCTTGTACGGCGAGCCTCCTCTCTGCCTCAACACCACCGTCAGTGGCCCCTCTGTGATTCTGGAAAACGCCTACGTCAAAGTGATAGATTTTGAATCAAGGTACAAGCAGGAACACTCGCCCCCCCAGCAGCTTCCTACACTTGCGCTAACGGTTATGACGACGCCGTCAACCAAGCCTACTCCCCAGTCCTGACGCCATGAACTTTGGCACCAAATCAGCCCGTATGTTTATTGAATGGTACACAATGGTTCCCCCAACTTCAAGCCAGTTCTCTTTGTCCACTACGGCAACAACTACGAAAAACGCTCTTCTGGGACGGCAGTAGCCTTCACTTTCGGCGATGGCCGAAACACTTTCTACCCACTTGTCAACCAAGACGTTATTGCTCATGAACTTGCTCATGGTGTCACCGAACAAAACTCCAACCCCATCTACGACGATCAGTCTGGTGGTATTAACGAAGCCTCTCGGACATAACAGGGGAGGCAACTGAAATGTTTGCTCGTGGCTCTAACGACTGGTTTGTTGGAGCTGAAATCTTTAAAAGCAGTAACGGGGCCCTACGTTACTTTCTAAGATCCTACAAGAGACGGGGGGTCAATCAAGCATTACCAGAGACTACAGAAACAGCGTGGATGTTCACTACAGCAGCGGCATCTTCAACCACGCCTTCTACCAGCTCGTTAAGGAAAACAACATGCCCATCAGACAAGCTCTCGAATGCTTCCTCAGAGCAAACGTCATCTACTGGGGCCAGTTCAACGACCTTCGAGGAAGGCGCTTGTGGCGTCATGCGTGCTTGCTACGACCTCGGCTACGACTCATCATCAGGTGGTGAAAAGATCTTTCCAGGTTGTAGGGGTCACTTTTCAGTGGGTGTCAGGAGCCCACCTTCATGGAGACGTTATCTGACAGCGAGACCCCTGACTTCCGACCTGACCGTCTCCTCCTCCCATCGTCCTGTCTTTATGTTGGCGCCTCCACCAGAGGCAAACTACGTCGTTCTGACGTCAACTACAGGCAACTCCATCAACATGGCCGTGTACGACAACCTGGGAGTCCTCCAACCCATTGGCCATGGCAACAGGCCAGTTGAGATATCAGCTTCTTTCTGGGTCTCCGTCGTTGTACCTGCGTGTATCTGCTGACGTTGATAATGATTATCACTGACGTCAACGTTCAAATCACGTATGAATGATTGTCAATATATTGCAGAAAATATACTCTTCGTAGCTTTCATTGATTAAAAGTATATACAAGTTCATCTTGAGTTGATATTTCTGAAATGACTGGATGTTTCAATAGGACATATTTATATAGATGTTGTAAAGGACCAGTGAGGGGTCCAGAAGGCGCAGTGACTGGAAGCAGCAGTGACTGTGCGCCTGATCCGACGTTGTGACGTAAAAAATCCCAGTTTTACCCTGAGTGTGAACATTGGCTTGTCAGCATCTTATCCATCGAACTTTTATTTCCTTTGTGTTAGTCGCGTCTAACCTGCACTCACACTCACCACTCATCACCAACAAAAATATATATTCTGAAATGAAACGTTGTTTTACCTTTATACAGAATCGTTTACAACAATTCACTGCATGTAAATTAACATAATGCCAAATGTAGGAATAAGTCGTTTAAGTCTGAAGTTGGGATAACGATAAATTGTGAACAGTTTAGAGAAAATATTTTGTCAGATAACGTACAAGTATTACTAGATAAATCGATTGACTGTGCTTTCGTTAATATTGATGATAGTATAAGCTATATGACCGAGGAACTCTTGTCTGGCCGCCTCTTGCATGAAGAAAACAGTTAGCCCTCCCACAACAACTAATAAATGGTTTGACTCTGAATGTGAAAGATTCAAATCAGACCGATGTAGAGCTCTTTGAATAAGTTTAGGAAATCGAAAGATAAAAGAATCATACGGATCAATATTGCGCTAAAAGAAATAAATATAACTCAATTTGTAAGGAAAAAACGCCTTAATTATTATAAAGAGATACAGAGAGTAATAGAAAACAGTATATCTGATTCAAAAAGATTTCTGGTATGAACTCAAACACCTGAATTACTGTGACATGAAGCTCAAAACAACATCGAAATGAACGACTGGCTAGAACACTTTCGACACTGTTTAACTCTTTACACAATGAAAATGACGATGTAACATGTGATAATTTCGAGAATGAAAACCCATCAGATCCGAATTCAGAGCTTACCAAGGTAATAATTTGATTCCCCAATTACTAGAGATGGAAATCTTGGAATGGCATTAACCAATTGAAATGTAATAAATCACCAGGAATTGATAAGGCAATATCTGAATTTTTAAATACTCCATAAGATCTTATCGTCCCGTACTTAGAATTGCTCTTTAACCTTAATTGATATTATTGGTAGCTGTTAATGTTCTCCAGATGTTAAGTAATTCGGGCATAATAGTTCCTATCCATAGCAAAATTAATATAAATAATCCAAATAATTACAGAGCTATGCTTACTACTGAGCATATTTAGTAAAACTTTACCTCTATAATAAAATGCCAGATTTTATAAGCTGGGGAGACTCATTAGGATAAGATCAACTGAAGCGCAAACTACAACTTCAGACAAGGGATATACGACAGTAAAGATAATATGTTTATACTCGCAAAGAAGTATTATTCAAAGGTATTTAAACTCTAAAGGGGGAAATTCTACGCAATATTTATGGTAGATTTTTCAAAAGCTTTCGATTCAATACAACGAAAGAAAACTTTGAAACTCTATTCCTAATACCCACGGTCTCAATTGTTAAAATAGAGCAAACTTTATACAATATGTGTAGAAAAATGTTAAAGGCTTGGATAAAAGTAATCATAATTACTTAGAAGCATTTCGACTTGGTAACTCTGTGTGAGACAGGGCTGCATACTCAGCCCATCACTTATGTTCCTTTTTATAAATGAGTTAGCACGACAAATCGAAACTAATTGTGTACACAGGATTCAACTCCACCTAGATATAGTTCATATTTTCCTCATGTTATTTGCAGATGACATTATGTTTTGTTCTCAAGCATCGACACAAGAAAACACAGAATCAAATTAATGAACTTAAGAAGATTCTGCGATAAATAAAATTAACTGTAAATGGAGAAAAAGGAAAGGTGTAGTATTCAAAAATGGAGGCAAACTGTGTCAAAAAGAAGCTGCTTATATAAAGGTGTATGCAGCTGGAGTGTATTAACTTTTATAAATATTTGGGACTATATTTCACCAGCGGCCTGTCATGGACGAGGCATGTAAAATATGCTGTGATTACAGGGACAAAAGCATTAGTTGGAATTATGAAAACAGTTGAGTGTACTAAGTGGCAATAATCTCTTTTCATTCTTTAAAATATTTGATGCAAAGTCAGAGTCAATTTTATCATATGGTGCCGTTAAAATTAACACTCATTAACGCAGTGGATTTATGAGTGAATGCGGTAGGGAAATTCAATGCACATTCTTACAAGCATTAAAGTCATTAAGTTACTGGCTAAAGGCTGTTGATTATTAGCATTCAAATCGGCTTACCCAAGAAGTGTTATATTATGGATGCTGTTGGCAAGGATAGGAGGTGGACCGAAAAACTGAGCAAACCAATGTAAAAACTTTTTTATATTCTATTGGTTTGGAATTATTACATGGAATACACAATACGTCGAGATCGCCCTGCGTTGTTCGCCCTGATCGTAACGACAAGACTAAAAAGACATGTATGTTCAAACGTAGTTGTGAAGGGATGTCATACATCAAATAAGAGTACGTATTATTCATTGTTTAAAAATGCCATAGTTCTTGAGGTCATATCTATCCTGTGTTAATGTTAAAAAGTTTAGAATAGCACTGGCGCGATTCAGATGTGCTCTTCTCTACGGATTTGTTGATTGAAAGAGGGCAGATATATGAATGTAAAAAGAAAATATGAATATGTGCATTTGTAATTTTAACGAAATAGAAGATGAATTACATTTTCTCTAATAATGTTCATTTTTGTGACCGGTTGCGAACAAAATATATTAAAAGAGATACTATGTCCATCCAAAATGTGATTAAAATTCTCCTCACTGTTGGCAGTAGGTAAAAATCCAGTTCTTCTACAAAGAAATATTTCAATGTACATTTACTATGCTATGATTTCACCCGATCTAAATTCTCTCAAATGTAACATATAACTTTTATGTACTTTGGGCCTGTGGCCTTCTCAGTGCACAAAATAAAGATTATTATAACATAATGCACCAGGTAGCATCAATACTACAATAAAGAAGGGTGACAAAGAGCTTCTCTGTGTTTGTTGGTTTGTTTTTTCTTCTATTTTTTTTTTGGGAAATAGGATTGACAACTTAATTTGAAGCAGTATGTGTTTCTTGTCATAACTATATTGTTATCGTAAGATCACTGGGTCGCGTCAACACCATATACCCAGTTTTTAAATTAATTGTCAAAGTCTCGCCTAACACATTTTTCTGTCAGTTAAAAAGAAACTATTGCGAAAAGAATATAAGCAGGAATATAATTTGGAATGTCGAGAGGAGCCTAATAATAAAAAGTGGAAAACAGCTTCAAAACATCAAGAAAATTCAAGGGAAAAAGAGTTCGTAGATCCTCTTATCAAATCTGCGAATAGTTGTGGTCACTATTGAAGATATATGTACGAGATAATGGCACGACTTCCTTCTGACTTTAAAATAAATTCCCTGGAAAGTTTAAGTCTAGTTTAAGATTGTCGACTGAATATCTCTGTTACCAAAGAAAATAGTATTGCATTTCCACAGTCGGTCAACGTTTGATTATAGGCCTATTTTGCACAGTGTAAGCGTTTTCATGGGTAACAAGAAAAACTACTTTAAAGAGTGTAACTCTGTTTTATATTTAAAAAGATTCATAAAAGTGGGATGAGGAGCCAACGGTTCAAAGAAACAATGAAAGTTCGCTCCAAGCGAAAGCCCGTTAATAAGTCTGCGTTGCTTGGGGACGTCCCATAGAAGGGGCGTCCTGGACATTTAACTAGCTCGTGTCCCTACGGGAGCATTCATCGCCGCTCCCTAAACAACCTCTCTCTTCTGGCTCGTCCAGACCAACACGAGTTGGTCACGAATGTACACAGAAGTCTCTCCTGCCTGGCACTTACAAGATCTTGAAGGTGTGGCTTCCTCGCATCAACATGCCGAGTTCTGCCGTTCCTGGATGTCCGGAAGTCTCCATCGTCGTCGTAGTCGTCTACATCATCATCATCGTCGTAGTCGTCTACATCATCACCATCGTCCTAGTCATCTACATCATCATCATCGTCTGAGTCACATTCGCACTGTTGTTCCCCACACTGGGAACAGATGAGGTACTCTGTCTTGTAGGGGAAGACGTAAATGCCACATATCTTACATCCTTGACTGTAAAAGACCTGCAACAATAGCAGACATATTGGAGATACAGTCATGGGACATAAGTATTCGTCAGTCGAAAAAATTCTCACAGACTTGCATGTTATTTGTAGCTGTAAGAATTTTCAATAATTCAGTTTTCGTTATTTGGTTGTAAAAGTTTGCAGGTTTATAGGAAATCATCTTGGTCACAGACACATAATTTCCATGTAATGTTCCTTCAAGTATTTTCTGCATTGTAGTTACATGAGCAACTTATATACCAGATTGTGTATTCTTTCCCCATTGACCGCCATGTTAAAAATTGTCATAACCATGACACGTATCAATCAAAGTTTGGTCATTCTTGAAATACTGAATGAAAAATACAACGGAAACTATGTCTTTGCAGCTGAGATGATTCATGACACATGAACAAGATCAAACGAAAAATAAATTCAAGACAATTTTTCTAGCTGCACCAAATTAACATGTACGTCTATGGAGTGAGTGAGTGAGTTTAGTTTTACGCAGCACTCAGCAATATTCCAGTAAATAATCGAGTCTGAACTAGACAATCCAGTGATCAACAACATGTCAACCAAGTCAGCGAGCCTGACCACCCGATCCCGTTAGTCGCCTCTTACGACAAGCATGGGTTATTGAAGATCAATATTCTAACCCGGACCTTCACGGGTAGTCAGTCTATGGAAATTATGCACAGTGACAGAAACCAATGTCCCATGACTGTATGTCAGTAAACATATTAATTATATAGATTAATACGTCATACCGTTTGCATCACATGAAACTGAGTAAGTTCAGCTTAACGCCGCTTTGTCCATTTTCTATGTGAGGTGAGGTGAGGTAAATTTGGGTTTAACGTCGTGCTTGAGAATATTTCGCTGTATGGCGACGTGCATGCGTGTGTATGTGTATGTGCGGCTGCTTTGTACTAGCCCAGACTGAAGCTTGTTTTATAGTGCTAGCCCACTGAGATACCATGCCGCAGTGAAGCATGAATACCCCACTTAGACACATTATACTGACTCAAAGCTGGTTCGACGCCTGAATGCTAGCCGGGTCATAGATTCACATCACTGAATCCCTGTTATTTAAATGACAATTATTTTATAGCATGGAATGCATACAGATGTAAGCGCTGTCTAGGATATACAGCCATGACAATAATCAATGGCAATGTAAACTATTTCAATGTAGAAATACTGATAGGAAGTTACAGCGTTACGTTGTAGCAACGTAAAAAAGGTTAACGTTGTGGCAACCGTATTTGCTAACATTGCCTCCACGAAAAAAGAAACCTTATCACGTCATAACGTTATTTGGTTTGCGTGCTATGGCCTGTAGTGTAAGAGACGTGAT